TTTTCCCAAGTCATCAGTTTTTGAGTATTTAGGTTGGTTCCATGTTTTAGCAGTTGTCAATAATGCTGCAATAAACATGGATGTGCAGATGTCTTTCTGATTAAGTGTTTTCCTATCTTTTGGGTAAATACCAAGACGTGTGATTACTGGCTATGTCGCTGGACTCCCATGTAGTCAACCGCAGTTCGAGTCCCGGACCCAGTGGCTTAAACTCATGCCAGGTGCGTGTGTGTGCATGCCCAAGATCCCAAGAGGAGAATGGAGGAGAAGGGATTGTGGTGTGGCCATCCCCCTAAGGGGTGATTTCTCACTTTCTGTGTCTCTATCTCTCTCTGTTTTTCTGGTGAGTACATGCACCCTATAACAAAAACCTCACCAGAAATTTTTTTTTTTTTTTTTTTTTTTTTTCGCAACGCGCATGTGTGCTAACAGAGAGAGAGACAGAAGGAAAGTGAGAAACCACCCCACCACGAGGAGATGGCCATTCTACAATCCCTTCTCCTCCATTCTCCTCTCAGAATTTTGGGCATGAACATTCATGTGCCCTGTGTGATTTTTCACGCCATTAGGTCCAAGACTTAAACTGCAGTCAGCCATGTGGGAGTTCAGGGCTTTAACCACCACGCCAAATGCTGGCTCCACTTTTTAACTCTTTAAGCTAATTCTTCTAGTATTTTTTTTTCATGTTTCTACATAACACACTTATATAGGTAATCTTTTATTTTTCTTCAGTTTTAAGCATTATCTCAAAAGAAAATTGTCTTTTTATCTCACCACTCTTCATGTTCACATACAATACCTATCTTCTCATTATTCTAATATATTTATACTGAATTTTAGTAAGATCAGTATTTATTGTTCACATTCTAATGATAATGCAAATTTTATGCTTTTATTCCTTTCCTGCATCACTTTTTGTTTCCCCTACAATGAATAATCATCTTTTATTGTGTTTGTTTGCTTTTCTAAATGGTTATAATAATCCCCAAACTAACCTCTAATTTATATCAACCTTTTCTTAAGATGATCAGATACTTTGGGTTGTGTTTCAGTCACATATTATTAAGGAAATCTCTTGGGAGCCCTCAGTCCTGCTCCAATCTAGACTGGTTACTGGCTGCCTCCATGCCTAGTGAACAGCTGTCGCCCTGGGATCAACTTTCACCACCACATTGAGGAGTCTTCTTACCACTTTCCAGTAGTAGATATTTTTTTCTACCCTATGTCTCTCTCTCATTCCTTGGTTAGTCTTTCATTTTGGTGGAGCCTTTCCTCTGGTAGTTTCCTGAGAGCGTGCTTAGGAGCTAATTTTTTGAGACATTATATTTCTAAAGATGTATTTACTCTACTTTACATTTATTTTAGAGTTTAGAAGTTTTTTTCACACTTTTTAAATGTACATTTAATCACTATACATCTTTACATTGTACAAGGTGGTATTTCCCAGTATGAATGCAGTGCATATCAATCAATCAAATATATTACCATATACATTATCATCAACAGATAACTTTTCACTCCTGTGTCTATTAAATGCTTCCTTTCTTCCTGATCCCCTCACTCTCACCCATGTTCCCCATCTCCTCTTATAGTGTCTCTGGTATCTACAGTTGACCTCCCTGCTGTTGCACCTTCCCATCTTGCAGTTTCTGCCATGGAGTGCAGACATTTGGTTTCTTGAGCAGGGATATACAATGTTTCTCTTTCATAGTTTGGCTTGTTTTGCTTAGCATTAAATCTTCCATATTCAATCACTTTGTAACAAAAGCCAAAGTCTCATCGTTTTTTATGTTGAGTAGTATTCTATAGTATAAATATACTGCATTTTTTCAATTCAGTCATCTGTTCTTAGGCATTTGGGTTGATCCCATGTCCTAGCAATGGTGAATAATGCTGCAATAAACATGGCTATGCAAGTGTTTTTCTGACTGAATATTTTTCTATCATTTGAGTAAATACCCAGAACTGGAATTATAGGGTCATATGGGTAGTTCTATGTGTAGGTTTTTCAGGAACTTTCATATTGTTTTCTACAATGGCTATACGAGTTTAGGTAAATATTGAATTCTTAGTTGAAATCATTTACTTTCATATTTTGAAGGTATTACTTTACTGTTGTCTACCTTTCAGGGCTAAGTCTGATACCATTCTGATTCTAGAGGTTATATATGAAACCTGTTTTTTGACCTCTAAGTTTCCATCAATGTCCTAAAATTTCACTGTGGTGTGCCTTAATATCAGTTGTTTGGTGCACTGGGTACTTGGCAAGTCCTTTCAAGAGGAAAACATACTCTTCAATTTGGGGGGGGGGAGTGGGCATTTTCTTACATTATTTTTAAAATTATTTCTTCCCTTCCCTTTCCTCTCCTCTGTGCTATTAGAACTCTTCTTATTCAAATTTGGATCTCCTGCACTAGTCCTTTTCTTTTCTCTCTCTCTCTCTCTCTCCCTCTCTCTCTCTCTCTTTTTTTTAAACCTTCCACTCTTCATTTTCATGTTCTTTTACTCTATTAGGGAATCTTCAAAAGCTTATAGAAAACGTATATTATGAAATAGCTATACATGGATTTCAAAAACTTTTGCACCAAAATAAACTCATACTTTGATTTTGTTTTTCCATGAACTTTTTGAAATACCATCATACTTGATTATTTCTTTAACTTTACATTCTAAGCCTTCCATTGGGCTTTCCAGGTTTTTTTAAAAGAATTATTTTATTTCATTTTGTTTATTCATTCATTTATTTAAATTTGACCCAGAGAGAGACACACGGGGGCTGGGGAGGGTAGGAGTGAGAAAGCAAACCACCAGTTCCAGGACTCTAACTGTGGTTGGCCATGTGGGAATGTCCAGCGCCTTAACCACCACTCCACCTGCTGGTCCCGGGCTTTCCAGTTTTTAATAACATTTTTCCCAGGTCTCATCCTCTTGTGAACCTTCTGTCTTAGCTTCCAAGTAATTGGGATTACAGGTGTATGTCACTGTGCCTTGCTTTTAGGGTGGGCGTGGAAAAGAACTCAAAAACTGAGTAACAGAGTCTACCAGCATGAGCCAAATAACAGACTTTTTAAATTCTTAATGCTATCTTTTGTTCTCTAATTGATCCTTTTTTACTGACTCCTATCCTTTTTACAAGGATTCAATGTCTTTTCTTAGCTCTCAAAAGATTGATGGGCTCTGGGGACCAGCAGTTAGCGTAATGGCTATGTCGCTGGACTCCCACATAGTTGACCGTGGTTCGCGTCCCAGACCCAGTGGCTTAAAACTCACGCAGGGCGCATGTGCGTGCGTGCCCAAGATCCTGAGAGGAGAATGGAGGAGAAGGGATTGCGGCATGACCATCCCCCCTGGGGGGTGATTTCTCGCTTTCTGTCTCTATGTCTCTGTCTGTCTGTCTGGTGAGCACACGCGCCCTGTAGCGAAAAACCTCTCAAAAAATAAATAAATAAATAAAAAGATTGATGGGCTCTGTTTCCTCTTATGGTTCCTTTTTTAAGTGTAATTTCTCCTTCTAAATAGCTCTTCTGTTCATTTGTTTTTGACTTTTGTATTTCATGTTAGATACTTTTTCCAACCACCCAATTATCCTTGGATATATGCTAAGATTTAAGATAAGGGAAATCAATAGGCACTGGGAAGCTCTGAGTTCATTGACAGAGCTCTTCAAAGGCTTCACTGTAGGACCTGGCACTGCCTTCTATTGGAAAAATCTCCAATGTCAGAACCTATGGTATATTCTCTTAGTTTGCTCAAATTCCCCAGAGAAGTTTCTTCCAGTGTTCTCCCTCGAAGGTATAAGTTTAAGTGCCAGTGTTCTAAGAATCTAATGGGAAAATATTATGTATGGAAACTTCCAATTAATCCACATAATCCACCTGCTTGTGGTACAATACCATCGTCCATATTTTCTAGTCCTGAGACCTTTTAATTCGTCAGAGAAGTCTAACTTCTTTCAAAACATATTTCAAAAATCCTTCTGAGTGAAGCTCCACATTCACCCCTCCATCTCCAGCATCTATGATGCCCATGGGGCGAATCAGGTTACTTCTCAGTTTACTCTGCTACTAGCTTAAGGCTTTATCTTTCTCAAGTCTATTAGATCCATCTGTCTATCTCCTTTCTAGCTACCAGCATTTACTTGCTTTTGTATCCTTTCCTATCTCTTTGTATTTATAGATTTATGTTTTTTTCTTATTTTATTTTTAAACCTTTATCATGGTTTCAGTGAGATTTTGGAAGAGGCTGGTATGTAATGAATATGTTCAGCATGCAGCCTTTAACCAGAAGTCCCAGCAGCAACATCTTAAAGGAACCAAATTCATGTTCAAGTCAGAAAAAAAAAAAAAAAAAAAAAAAAAAAAACACAATGTTTTTGTTTCATTCTGTCAGGAGCAACCATTACCAGCTCAACCTTGAAACTGGCATGAATGCTTCTGTCAGTCAACTGTTCCTGGAGGATCATAGGCAGAGCCACACTGCACTCAACCATGGATCCACCCAGGTTTCTATGTCTAACAGCAATGATATAGATCATATTCTCATACCCAGTGACATGTTGTCAGAAATTTGGTGACAACACTAACAACCTTCTCTTCATTATGTAGAATATAAGAGCTGAAATCAGTGATCATCCAGTCCAACTTCATAGAGCACTGTTTTCAAATACTGTTATAGGTAGTCTAGTCTTACAACAAATCACTCATCCTGAGAATATCAACAAAGCACCTAAGTGGTTT